GCTAGCACAATAGGGAGCTCATGTATGCTATGGTTTGTAGCAGACCGGATTTGGCTCATGCAGTGAGTCTCGTCAGCCGATACATGAGCAATCTGGGTAAGGAGCATTAGGAAGCTATTAAGTGGATCTTTCGTTATTTGGATGGAACTACCGAAATGGGTTTGATGTTCAGTTCAAAGAAAGAATCGATCGATTTAGCAAGTTATGTCGATTCGGACTTCGCTGTTGATTTGGACAAGCGAAGGTCCATCACGGGATACGTCTTTACTCTTGAAGGTGGAGCTATTTCGTGGAGGGCAAAACTTCAGTCTACTGTAGCATTGTCTATAACCGAAGCTGAGTATATGGCAGTAATTGAGGCTGCGAAGGAGGGAATATGGTTGACCGATTTGGTCACGGAGTTGGGTTTAAAGCAGGAAAGTGCTACACTATATTGCGATAGCCAAAGCGTGATATGTCTCGCGAATAATCAAGTGTTTCCTTCCATAACAAAACACATTGAAGTTCGGTACCATAAGATTCGAGAATTTGTGGAGACTGGTAGCATTGCTTTGAAGAAAATCCATGCAAAAGATAATCCCGTGGATATGCTCACAAAGACAGTTACTATGGAGAAGTTCAAGTCCTACAGGGACTTGATTTCTCTCACCCATCATTGAAGTTGATGGAGGCCGCACCGGTCTAGGTGTGGGCGTACCTTTGCGAAGGTATGGTGGAGATAGAGATATAAACGTTTTCTTGGCTTGAGTGGAGACTTGTGGTTTATTCAAGCCAAAAGTGGGGATTTGTTGATGTTGTCTTGAATTCCATAAAGTTTCGATTGAGTAGAGACTCGGAAAATTTTGGACCTATCTACATGGGATTTCATGGGAAATAGTCCTAATTCAATGTAACTGGATATGTCATGATATTCCTAATATTTGGGGGATAATCACTAAAGCTTTATTAGTTAGTTTCCTAAACTGATAAGATCTTTAGAGTGGAATTTCTTTCCCCATTGGGATTAGGGAGGTAGGGATATGAGGATCTATTTATTCAACATTGTACCTTGTATCATATATACTCAAAATAAGAAATCGTCTCTCTCTCTCTCTCTCTCTCTCCTGTGAACATAGGCGGATTTTCTTTCGCCGAACCATGTAAATTTCTATATTCGGATTATTCTTGTTTTTCCTCTTTCATCTCATCTAGTTAGGGTAGTCTTCAGCACAACAGTTAAATTCCAAATTTTGCTCGAGAGTGCACGAGGCGTTTGATAAGAGGATGACGCCGTGTTTTGCTGCATAATTGTTAAATTCCAATTTTTATCTTCCCTGAAACTAGTGTACCCACTTTTTACTGTATAGGTACCGTACTTGGTTTTTATCCAGACCATTATATCCCCTGTCAACTATGATTTCAGAGGAATAGTGAGAATTCCTTCCCTATTTACTCATAAAAAAGATCGTATAGCATCTGTTCATTCCATTTAGATTCATCCTGGATGATCAAATCAGCAACTTGCAAAGGTTCTCCTTTATTCGCTGGCCCCCCAGCACCCCAATCTGAAGCCATTATCCTCTCCGATCTTAATGTTTTCCCCATTACCTACTTGGCCACGTGACTGAGGGAGATATGGTGTCTTTACCCATGAGTAAATTTTGCCAATCCTTTGAAGGTAGAGTTCCCTTTCCTGCCCGCCAGAATTCACAATTGAGAAAATATATTCCTTTCGAAATATGACTCTACAAAGAAAGAGGGGGCTGTATTAGTAGCCATTGCTTGCTTTCCTAGCATCTTAAAGATGACCAAATCCCTGAAGCCGAGCCCCCCATTGTCCTTCCCAAGCTTCAAAACTTCCCATCTCCTCCAATGCAGCCTCTGTTTTTTTTGTCATTGTTCTTCCACCAAAATCCAGCAATTTTCTTTTCGATAGCTCGACAAATATATACTATAATTTAAACATAAACATTGCATACAATGGTAAAGCCTCGACCACAACATGAATTAAAATTTCCTTTCAAGCTTTTGACATTAAATTCTCCTTCGACCTTTCTAACATCATGTTAACCCGAGCTAGTATCCAGGCAAACATTTGCTTTTTAGATGTCCCCAATCTGAAGGCATGTATAAATATTTCCCCATTTTCTTTCTCCGAAACTCTCAGCTTATTAGCCATGTTCTTTCTCAAAATTTGAAGACAACCCTTGCTAAAAAAATGCCTGAGTTGTTCAAATTGATGGCTTGGACAAAAGTAAAACAATACTAGTTTAAAATTGCCGCTATATTCTGACTCTCACTAACCTTGTCATCCAGGAAAAAGATTGAATCTTCTACAAAGAGTAGGTGAGAAAAGGCAGGACATGACCTGGTTAAGTGGATCCCCTTAATTGTACCATTTGCTAATGTTTTCTTCATCATAGAGGATAATATATTTGTAACCAAAATGAAGAGACAAGGAGACAGAAGATCCCCGTGCTTGATGCCTCTTGAAGGTGTAAAATAAGGGAAAGGTTCTCCATTAAATTTCTAAGCGAAGGAAATTGTTGTAACACATTGCATCACCCACTGCACCCATTTTCCATCAAAACCCAATTTCAACATATGAACTTCCAAAAAGTCACATTCTACTCTATCGTAAGCCTTCTGCATATATATAGTTTCAGCATTGCTTGGAAATTCTTCCTTCTCTTTTTAACTCTCAATTGATGAAGAACCTCCTAAACGATCAAGATGTTGTCTTGAATTTGACATCCACACACAAAGGCACTATGTACTATACTAATTAAGTCTGGCAGCAATGGTTTGAGTCGATTGGCCATGACTTAGAAATAATTTTATGGACAAAGTCGCACAGGCTGGTTGGACGGAATTGTTCTAGTTTTTCAGGGTTGGGTGTTCTGGGGATGAAGATAATGAGAGTTCTATTGAAATTGGAAGTCAATATCCCTGTGAAGAAAAAATTCTTTACCTCATGGTATACATCTTCCTGAATGTCTCCACAATGATGATGGAAAAACTATCCATTTAGGCCATCTGGACCAAGTGCTCTCACGGAACCCAATTGATGAGTAGACTCTGTTACCTCTGCCCTGAGCATTTGGTTCAAATCCTCTCTAACAGAACTGGGTATCTATCAAGAATGGGCTGAAAGTATTTAGTATGTTTATCTTCCCATTCAGCCAACTTGTTGCAGATCTCATACCACAATGCATCTCCTCTTGTCTCCACAAAACTTTTGCATCATTTCTTTATCATTAAAAACATCGTGGCTGTTACTAAAATCTTGAAGCTCCCTTTTCAGAACAAAAATTTTCCTTTGAGCGTTGGAATGTTTTTTCTAACTCCAATCAGATAAGGCTTTGGACACAGTTCGTAGCTTTTGCCATAAACCCGCGTCAGTACACTGATGAGAGGACCAGACATCTTTAATATCCTACCACATTCCATAGTGAAAGGACTCTCCTTACATTCCGGATCCATCAATAAATATCTATCCAGGAACTCCCTAAAAGGCGCAAGTCGATAATTGTCAGCTAGATGTTTCCCAACTCTTTCCCACGGATAAAGAATTTCATTAAATTCCAAAATACACACCCAAGGCCAATGGTTCAAGTGACGAATTCTATATAAATCCTCCCATAACGGCACTCCTGAAACTCACTCGGAGCATAAAATAAAAAAATTTTGCATTCGTTTTTTACTCTCTTCAATTTCACACACGAAGTTTATAAACTTATTTGAAGATGAATAATTGAGATCGATACCTGATCATTCCAAAGATTAGCCAAGCCTCCAGCAATACCCACAGGGTTGATGGCATAGCTGCTCTGAAACTTTTATCTTCTCCTTGAACGAAGCAACACCTGTTCTTGATTTTTAGTCTCCATACGAAATGGTATCACGGGCCTTTCCTGAACAATAAGAGCTTGAAGTGCTTGGACTGTCAAGGGTGTGCCCAACCCTGACAATTCCAACACGAGATTCATGGATAACCTGGTGACTTATTAAGGCTAGCTATCAAAGCCCATTCATTTGCCTCCTCTACAACCTTGATTGGAGTTTTCATAAGCTAATTTTCATCCGGTACATTGGCTCCAGTGGCCTGTGGATCATAAGCTAATTTCCATAAGCCTATTCATTTTTCTGAGGATTCATTTATGCAAGCTAATTTCCATCCGGTACATTGCCTCCTCTGTGAAGTTTTTTGCTTGTTGGAGTTTTGTTCCTTTTGGTTTCATTTTTCTGAGGATTCATTTGTGCAGGGTAATTATGCTTCCTGAATAGAACTGGCTGCCGAGTATTTAAAAGTCTCCAATATGTCTTCTTTTCTCAATGTTGCTGGGAGCTTTGTTCATCTATCATTTTTGCTTTTCCCTTATCTTTTTGCACCTCCTTACATTGCCTTTCTCGGTTATTGCCCTTCTCAAAAAGCACAATCTGCCCTGAATTTATAGGGGTTTCTGGAATGATTTCATCATCCTGAACTGCAGCATGCTTTCCTTCATAAAAAAAGCTTCCAAAAGGGACTATATATATACTTATGCCCTTAAACATTAGCCAAATAGACTCTCGTTTTCTGGGAGTATTTTATCTTCCTCATATTCCACCTCTTCACAATATTTAGCGTAATGGCCCACTTTACCACAGGAATAACAGATATGTCGCAATCTCTCGTGCTTAAAGCGTAACCAAATGTTTTTTTTGGCAAAGCTTATGAGAGTTCCAAACAATAAAGGTGACTAGATAAATCGATATCTACTCTTCCCCTCCCTGTTTTAATGGCTGCAGTACCTTTAGCTTCGACTCTTACCTCTGTAACCTCTCCCATTTTCTGGGCTGCTCTACCAACAGCTTCTTCAGTTAATGTTGGAGATGCGATTTGATACTATTGAAGATTTGGATGATCCTAATTGAGGACTTGATTGATTTAGTCAATCCGTGATTAGTTTAGTAAAATGGGAAATTGTAATCTTGTATATTATTTCCTGTTTTTTTCTTCTTCTTTCTAGCATTATAAATAGACCAATGTACATGTAATCTTTTCAGATCAATACAATACAAAATTTCCTCCATTTTCTTTGTTTTCTGTCATGGTATCAGAGCGGTCTTTCTTGACCTAGCTTCCGCAGAAAAGTCCTTCAAATTGCCTCCGTTTTTTTCTGATTTGCTGTTGCAAGTTTAGTCCTGCAAAACAGATCAGCAACCGGAAAGGAATTCATCAACAATACCATGCCCAAGAACCCTTCGATGGAAGACAGTTCAAACTCACCTCAAAATCAAACCTCGGATCAAATTGATTTAATTGAAGAGGAACGATCTTTTGCCGTTCCTACTTCTGCTGCGCCTGACTCGGATCCTGCTATCACTTCTGCTGCTCAGATTCCCGGCCCCGTCCAATGGCCACCAGTCCAATGGTTTCCAGTGCAAGGCCCATGGGCCATCGGGCCAAATCAATCATGGGCCCAATACACGTCACCGGGAGCTCCAAATCCCGGAGCTCAGCCCAATGAAAGTGGGCCGACGCCGGGTTTGGGTCCAGGTCCAGGGGGAAATCCCTACCCGGTATTGGGACCCGGTTTCATGCCCTATGTTGTTCCGACTAGCGGCGGCCGCCCGGAGCCTGGTGACCCGCTCTATACATCACCGGCTAATGGACCCGAATTGCGACTCATCAATATGCAACTCGCCGGACCAGAAAATTATAGCTCCTGGGCTCGAGATTTCCGGCGAGCCTTGGTCACGAAGGATAAAGATGGGTTCCTTGACGGAACCGTACCCTTCCCGTCCGACGATCGATTACAACGTCATTGGCGCAAATGCAACCAGCTCGTCCGCACATGGATCGGAAATTGTTTGACCCCCGACGTTGCAGTCGGACTACCACCGACTAAAGACTCGAAGACGATTTGGGATAATATCCGAGAAATGTATGGAAAACTTGACCGAACCAAGATTTTCTCACTCACACAGGCTCTGTCGGAATTGAAGCAAGGGAACTCGTCGGTTACCGCTTGCTTCAATCGACTCTCGGCTCTGTGGAATGAGCTCGAGGCGGCCGAAGAGCAACTCGAAGGACCAGAAGAAACGCTCCGACAGTACCGGGCCATAAAGGACAGAGAGAAGACGACTTGATTTTTGCTGATACTCAACGAAAGTTACTCACCTTTCCGCTCGCAAATCCTCGCCATGGACCCTGTACCGTCGCTTGGCCGGATCTTCCAATTGGCTGTCCAAGAGGAAAGCCAATGGTTGGCCGCGGCTGAACATGCACGGGTAGGTGAAGGCGTCGCCCTTGCTGCTTTCCCATCCGGTACTGCTCCGACGGAACCAACGAATAGAAGCCGTGGAGGTCTCGGCTTTTCTGGGTCTCAACGAGCATATGAAAGCCGTGGAAGTCTCTGGTCTTCTGGACTTCAACGAAAGTCCTCTGTAGCTAAGGAAAATGGTGGAAACCCTAAAAACATTGGGATGGACGGCTGGGATCAGCGGATGAAATCAGATGGCTGGGATTCGCGGACAAGATTAGACGGCCATTTTTTTCCCATCAGCTCAACCGAATCCAACGGTTCTCATCAGGCCACGTTGATGCCTGCTTATAAGACAACCAGCGGTCCACGAATTGGGCAAAATTCCAAATCAAAAGGTAAATATTGTGAATATTGTAAACGCCCACATCATACTATTGATACATGCTGGAAACTACATGGAAAACCAAATGATAGAGACAAAAACGAAAAAGAATTTTCCGTTTACCAGGTTTCAGCACAAAAAATCGATGGGGCGCATCAGACTATTAATCAAGACCAGTACTAAAATATTATGAGAGCTCTCAGTCAGTTGAAGGCCAACGACAAGGATGCAAATTTCTCAGGTACTCTTATTTGCGAGACGAATTCTATTTCAATTGATGCGTGGATAATTGATTCGGGTGCTAGTGACTACATAATTTGCAATGAGCAATTATTTTCCCATGTTCACAAAGGACCAAAATCTTCTGTATCAGTACGTCTTTCAAATGGGAACATCACCTATGTTACCAAAATTGGCACGGTTCTTATCAGTCCAAATTTTGTCCTTAAAAATGTCCTATATATTCCTGACTTTGAATTCAACCTCCTATCTGTTTCAAAGGCCTGCGAAGATAATTCTTGTCGTGCCATATTCAGTTCCGAAAATTGCTTCTTTCAGGACCATTCGACTGGCAAACTGATGGGCTTGGGTAATGTTGCACAAGGACTATATTTCTGGATTGATAGCTCAGGAGGTTTAGATTTATTGAACAAAAGCATTTCTTGTAATGCAGCCACTGGTAATAAAAATCTCCTTCTTCATAAACGTTTGGGCCATAGTGCACGTTTTCCCCATCCAAAGTGTCCAATATGTCCTTTGGCCAAACAATCTCGAGCATCTTTCCCAATCAGTACGTCACGAGCTAAAAGTGCATTTTCTTTACTCCATATGGATATCTGGGGTCCCTATCATACCCCACATCGTGATGGATCTCGTTTTTTTCTCACAATCGTTGATGATTATACTCGTGCCACTTGGGTTTTCCTTATGCAATCCAAGAATCAAACCTTTTCCAATTTGTCGAAATTCATTTCTCTAGTTAAAAATCAATTCGACAAATCTGTACAGCGAATTCGTACAGATAATGGGCGGGAATTCTTTACTACTGATTGCATATCTTTTCTATCCTCTCATGGGATATTGCATGAAAGTTCTTGCACTTACACTCCCCAACAAAATGGAATTGTTGAACGCAAACATAGACGTCTTTTGGAGGTAGCTCGAGCACTCAAATACCAAGCTTCAATTCCCGAAAATTATTGGGGAGATTGTGTGGTCACTGCAGCCTATTTAATTAACCGCATGCCTACTCGAATTCTTGATGGACGGACTCCTTTTGAAATGCTTTATGGAAAACAGCCAGGAATTGATCACCTTAGAATATTTGGCTGTTTATGTTATGCAACAACTGTGGGCCCTCGGGATAAAATGGATCCCCGTGCCACACAATGTATTTTCATGGGATATCCCCCTCTTCAAAAAGGGTACCGAGTTATGGAGATTTCTACAGGGAAGTTCTTTATAAGCAGAGATGTTATATTCTACGAGGATAGTTTCCCTTTTCAAGAGATGACGTCTTCATCATCTCTCTCATCCTTGGACAACCGTCGTTTCTTATCCGACGAAGATTTATCTATGGCTTCCCAACATATTCTCATAGCACCGAACCCTTCTGTACCAGTTATAAGGGATAACTTGAATCACGTGGCTGATTTACCCGTGTTATCATCTGAAGACGTTCATTTGGCTGATTCATCAGTGGAATCTCCATCAAAATTTACTCAAGTGCAGTCTTCACCAGTTCTTGAACAAAAATTAACTGAGCAACCTCGACGTTCTCAACGGCATGTTCATCCTCCGACTTGGACAAAGGACTACATATGTTCTACCTTGAGTTCCCCAGGTACACAATATCCTGTTTCCTCATATGTCTCATTTAGTCGACTATCAACAGAACATATGTGTTGTATTAGTCGTATTTCAGAGGAACAAGAACCATCTTCATACAATGAAGCAGCAAGTGATCCTCGATGGCAAAAAGCGATGGAGGCAGAACTTACTGCCCTCACAGAGAATCACACTTGGGATATTGTCTCATTACCACCTAATCGGAAACCCATTGGGTGTAAATGGGTATACAAGATTAAATTCAAGGCAGATGGCTCCGTCGAACGATACAAAGCTCGTTTAGTTGCTAAAGGATTCACGCAACGAGAAGGTTTTGATTATCATGAAACTTTCTCTCCAGTCGCCAAAGAGGTAACTGTCCGTACCTTTCTATCAATTGCTGCTATTCGTAATTGGCAACTGCATCAAATGGATGTCCACAACGCTTTTCTTCATGGCGATCTGGAAGAAGAAATTTATATGGAACTTCCACAAGGTTTACGGAGCCAGGGGGAGTCTCGTGTGTGTCGCCTTCGTAAATCCCTGTATGGGCTTAAACAAGCCTCCAGGCAATGGTATGCCAAATTCACTGCTGCACTAACAAATGCAGGTTTTCAGCATTCCAAACATGATTACGCCCTATTCACATGGACTGCAGGCACTTCATCAATTTATTTGTTGATATATCTTGACGACATACTTATTATGGGTAATAATGGCTCCCATATTAAGAAGTTCAAAGAATATCTGCACTCCACTTTCCACATTAAAGATTTGGGACCTCCCAAATATTTTCTTGGCATTGAAATCGCTCGATCCGACAAAGGAATCAGCCTTAGTCAGCGGAAATTCATCTCGGAAATTATTTCAGAAGCAGGAATGTCAGGGTGTAAACCAGCCGTTATACCAATTGAGCAGAATACAAAATTGACGACACATGACTATGATGTGGGATCATCTTCATCCATCGAAGATCCATTGCTTAAGGATCCATCGGCATATCAGTGGCTCGTTGGGAAATTAATATATCTCACCATGACAAGACCTGATATATGCTATTCAGTGCAGATACTCAGCCAATTCATGCACAGTCCAAAGCAGTCTCACATGAATGCAGCACTGAAGGTTGTGAAGTATTTAAAAGGATGCCCAGGACTTGGTAAATTCTTGTCTCGTGATTGCAACATGAAGATGACAGCCTACTGCGACACAGACTATGCTACTTGCCCAATGACTAGAAGATCCATTACTGGATTTTGCATCAAGCTTGGAAAATCACTGATTTCATGGAAGACAAAGAAACAGACAACCGTTTCACTGTCATCAGCTGAATCTGAGTATCGAGCTATGGCAAAGACAGTCTGTGAAATAATTTGGATACGAGGTCTACTCTCGGATCTTGGGGTACAAATTGATGGACCAAGCGAACTATTTTGGGATAATGATGCCGCTCTCAAATTAGCGGCAAATCCGATTTTTCATGAGAGAACGAAACATATAGAAGTGGATTGTCATTTCACTCGAGATAAGATTCGAGAAGGGATTATTCTAACAAGAGGAATTGGAACTGTAGAACAACCTGCAGACATCTTCACCAAATCATTGTGTCAAAGACAACACACATACCTATTGAGCAAGCTAGGCGTCCTTGATATATACAAGCCACCAGCTTGAGGGGGAGTGTTGGAGATGCGATTTGATACTATTGAAGATTTGGATGATCCTAATTGAGGACTCGATTGATTTAGTCAATCCGTGATTAGTTTAGTAAAATGGGAAATTGTAATCTTGTATATTATTTCCTGTTTTTTTCTTCTTCTTTCTAGCATTATAAATAGACCAATGTACATGTAATCTTTTCAGATCAATACAATACAAAATTTCCTCCATTTTCTTTGTTTTCTGTCAGTTAACAATTCAAAGGGGAGTCCTTGAATTTGTATCCAAAACGAAAAAGAGGTGAATCGATAGCAATGCGGAGGTGTGTTACGTTCCCAAACTTTAAGAAGAAGTAAATGATTTGCAAAAGACCAAGGTCCTGATTCTAAGACCCTAATTTTCTCCCCTTCTGACTTTAAGGTCACAGTAATAGTCGTAGAATCCATATGCGCAAACACAACAGACTTATGGCACCAAGCTTTCTTCATAGTGCTTTGGAATGCTTGAAAACTGATGTTGGGGTTTTGAAAGAGCTGTCCGAAGATAGTGAGTCAACATTCTCTCAATTTCTCATTTGAAAAAAATTCTATCAATACACATTACTTCATTATCTGACCATAATCTTCCTAACCATTTGCAGAGTGAAGCCAGGCGAGCCTCACTTTCAACTTCTTCCATAGTCGCCTCCCAGGGAATTGCCCAAAGTGAGCTGAAGGTCGTGACAGAAACACTCACCAAACTAGATTGGTATCTCGGAGAAAACCAATAATCAGAGGCAATGTTGCTGGCAGAACACAGAGACTAGGATAAGCGAAAAATCCAGGTTCAAAAAGGAAGGGCTGCAGTGAACTGTGATGATTGATTATAGCTGGCAAATGGTGGATAGAAAACAGAGCCGAGCAGAAGTATAATATTCAAGTAGAAATGAGAAGACATATTGAGTTTCTGTCTTGGTGGGTAAGAAAAGGTTTAGTGTTTGAAACCAACAATGCGAGCAAAGGAAAAATGCAAGATGAAGAAAGAGGGAGAAATCAGTGAGGCGTAAACAGGGTGGGTAGATAAGGAAGGGTTTAGGGTTTATGGGGGTGTTCTATCCAAATGGGTGTAAAGGGTTTAAGTGTTTGTGCGACACCAGCATTGTGAACAAAAGAGAGAAAATCAGGATGAAAAGAGGAAAATCAGTTAAGCGATATCAGTGCGGGATTAGAGAGTGGGGTTTAGGGTTTATGGTGTTAAAATATATCTCGAGTTTGAGCCCGAAACGAAAATCTGAATATTCTAAATTG